ATGCCAGGGGTTTCCCTGTGCTGCTGGCTGACCAAGGCAGTGTTCCCCTCCCTGCAGCCCCTTCCATGCTTTGCTTTGTGTAGCTGCCACGTGCTGTTCATCTCCCAGCTCTGCAGCCCTCTGTGTCCTCTCCTGCTTCGTTTCCCTTCTCACACAGTGTGTTCCACCTGGCTTTTCTGCATGTCAGAAAGGGTGGCTGGAAGGGAGGGACCCTGGTGGCTGTCACCATGCCTGGGGGAAGGGACAGGAGCAGGGCTGGGCTGCAGCAGGATGGCAGCCTGGGATTTCAGGGAATTCTCTTTTCCTTCTGTGCCAGAACCAACTCTCTGGGTATCTGCTGAGGAAATTCAAGAACAGCAATGGCTGGCAGAAACTCTGGGTGGTCTTCACCAACTTCTGCTTGTTCTTCTACAAGACACACCAGGTGAGGGGGTGATGGGCAGGGTCCTGGGGGCACCTGGGGTCCTGAGCTTTCAATCACTGCTGTTTGAGGGACAGTCCAGGGCAAGAGGAGGTAATTAATTCATAATGAAGCTGGGCTCTGAAAGGCTGTGGGCACTTCTGTAGGGGGATAGAATATAAGAAAATAAAGATAGTGTGGAAAGTAATCTTAACCCTGAGGAGTTGCAGCTGGGCCAATTATCAAAGATTAGGAGCAGGCCTGACTTTAACAGGCCACAGCTGTAAGCAATGAGAAGAAGATGCTGTAAAAGAGTGGGGTGGCTGGGTGAGAAGGGAATTGGAGTCAGTGGCTGCTTTGTGAAAAAGAAAGAGTCAGAGCTCTTAGGAGAAGCCCATGAGACACACCAAGGAGGTTTGAAACTTTTGAGATAAGATGACAACACACTTCTTGTGGAACTTAATCAGAATTTCCAGTTCTGATGGTTCTGAACTTCTGTGATTGAGGGAGAAATGTCTCATGCAGTGACTGAGGGATGTGAGGGACACAGCAGCCTTTGGGCCTTCTTTACCCTCTTCTCTCTGTGCTGGGCTTCAGCTCAGCCTGACAGGCTCCAGGGGTTTTTCTGCCCATGGTGCATCCAGCACCTGCTTAATCATGAACCATGGTCCAGTGCAATTCTTTCATCTTATTAACCAAATAAACTGTGATAACCTGTGACGTGTTCACAGGAGTCTGAGGATGAGGGAAGAGATGAGGATCTGACTCTGTGTTTCAGAAGGTTTGATTTATTATTTTATGATATATATTATATTAAAACTATACTAAAAGAATAGAAGAAAGGATTTTATCAGAGTGCTGGCTAAGAATAGAAAAGGAAAGAAAAAAATAACAAAAGCTTGTGTCTCAGACAGTCCGAGCCAGCTGACTGTGATTGGGCATTAATTAGAAACAAGCACACAAGACCAATCACAGATGCACCTGTTGCATTCCACAGCAGCAGATAACCATTGTTTACATTTTGTTCCTGAGGTCTCTCAGCTTCTCAGGTGAAAAAATCCTAAAAAAAAGAATTTTTCATAAAATATCATAGCTGCAATAACCCAGTAATTGGGTTATTCTGGCTTCTTGCCTTGAGGTCACATTTCTTTTGTGAGGGTTACTTCACTTTTTTTGTCAGATCTGTGCTTTGAGCTCCACAGGAAGGGTGCAGAGAAGGACTGAGCACAGGAGGCAGCGTTGGGCAGAGCAGCAGAAACAAATAACCATAAAAAATGAGAGGAGTTGGGGGAAGGTTTAATCATGAACTGTTGGTGGCCTTGCAGAAGAGCTCTCCTGTTGTCTCTGAGCACGAGTGCACAGCCCTGTGGCACACAGGGTGCCTGGCACTCAGGGCTGGGCTCTTGGCTCTTGCAGGATGATTATCCCCTGGCCAGCCTGCCCCTGCTGGGCTACACGGTCAGCTGCCCTGTGGAGGCAGATGGCATCCACAAGGATTATGTCTTCAAGCTGCAGTTCAAGTCCCACGTGTACTTCTTCAGGGCTGAGAGCAAATACACCTTTGAGAGGTAATTTTCTGTTTCCTTTGTCTTGGTTTGTAACCTGTTCTTAACTCAGTGCTTGGTCATTCCATCCTCTTTCATAGTAATCAGGGAAGGATTGGCATCTGACTCCATTGATTCAGAATGCTGAACATATCAAAACTCTATTATATTACATTGTACTATACTATATTAAAGAGACACTATACTAAATTACATACTAAAGGAAACTCCTGACAGTTAGGACACAGCTTTGAGTGATTGGTTAATTAATATTAACCAATTAATATTAACCAATTAATATTAACCAGGGAATGATTGGCATGTGACTCCATTGATTCAGAATGCTGAACAATTGCTTTATTAAAACTATATTACATTACATTATGCTATAATATATTAAAGAGATTCTGTACTATACTGAATTACCATACTAAAGAAAATACTAAATTAATTACAATAGCTTTTATTGTGAATAAATTAAATACAAGAATTACTAAATTAATACAATAATTACTAAATAAATACAATAATTACTAATTACAATACTAAAGAAAACTTGTGACTGTCTCCCAACAGTCAGGACACAGCTTGGAGTGATTGGTTAATTAATATAAACAACCATCACCAGAATCCAATCACTAAATCCCTTCAGGTAAACAATCCTCCTAACACATTCCACATGTGCAAAAACAACAGGAGCAGCAAGCAGAGATAAGAATTGTTTTCTGTTCTTCTCTCTGTGCTTCTCCAGGAAAAAATCTTGTGAGAGAGAATTATCTTTCCTCCTAGTCTGAGTAATTTTCCAGCACATTCCCAGGAATAACATTCCCTTCTTTAACCCAACAATTATATTTGGAGATCCCTCCTGTGTGTGTGGGGGTGCTGGGGATTGAGGAGAGAGCACAGTGAGCTCTCATGAGAGTTCTCTGGGGCTCAGAGCACTGCAGACTCATTACTTGGACAGGCAACCACGTTCTGCAGGGTATTTGCCACATCTCAAGCTGTCCTTTTGAAAAGTTAATTCTCCAGAGGACTTGTAAAAGAAAGAAAATGGCTGTTTTGGGAGGTTTGGGAAAGGGGTACAGCTCATAACAAAGGACAAGATTCCCTGGGAGTGAGGGTTAAACATTCCTCATGTCTTTTCTTGGCAGGTGGATGGAGGTGATCAAAAGAGCCACCAGCTCTCCAGCCAGGTCGAGCCTGCCTGTCCCCAAGGAGAAGGACACTCACACAGAGTGATGTGGGGCAGAGCTGGATCTCTGCTGGCAACACCAACAAAACAGGTGGGAGCAGGAGGCTCTGGAGTTGGCAAAGCAAAGAGCCAGGATGCTCCTTCCCCCCAGAATGGGAAGTGGGGCTGCAGCCAGGGATCACATCCATTCCCAAAGGTGTGGAAGAGGGGCAAGTCTGTTCCAGCTGGACCTACTCAGAGAGAGCCCAACAACTGCACCATCATGGAGGGGTTCTTGTTCCATGGTACCTGTACAGTGACACCTTTGCCTGCCCTGAGGGCAGCTCCCACCTTCTTTTTAAATCTGGACTGGATGCTCAGCTCACAGGGGAGGAACCCAGCAGCCTCCAGGGGTGCAGCTGGCTGGCAGCAGAGGGTGCTGGTGGGGCTGGCAGCACAGCCTGTCCTGCTGGCACAGCTGCCTCAGACAGACAGGGACACACCACGTGCTGCCTCGCTCCCAGCTCGTTCTGATCAGCCTCTGCAGCTCTCCCAGCACAGCTCTGCTCCTCAGGAGCTGCCAGGGCAGCAGCTTTCCAGGCAGGCTGAGTGTCTGTGGAGGTGTTGGTGGGTTGTGGATCGGTGCAGGGGGGTGCATGGTTTGTCCTCTGAACTCAATCACTGTTCTCATATCACAGCTCCGGTTTCTGTATCCCTTAGTAGGAGTTAAGTAAGGCATGGGATGGCAAACACTCTCCACTCTGGTGTGGGTGATGTTTTCAAGGCATTTAAGCACTGCAGGAGAGCAAGCCTCTGAAAGTCACTGTTGCTTGTGCTTTTGTCATGGCAAGACTTGTGAAAATCCCTCATCTTCTAGTTCAGCTCAGGGTGGGATCCATCTTCTGTTTCTCATGAAGGTGTAAAAGTCACTGGATTCCAGATGGAGCATTAGTGTCTGTGGACTCTATTAAATTTCTGTATTAAATCTGAAATGTTTGCAGCTTATTCTCTTTTGTACAGCTGTCACCTTTGGGTGCCTCCACAGAAGGACTGACATTTGCTAAGTGCCACAAGGTGCTGTTGGACGTGGCTTTGATGGGCTGTGGGGACTCTGGTTTGTATTAGATAGAAAAGTGTTTGTGTAGCAATGGAAGGAACAAGGCAGTGAAGCAGTGAGAGCAAAAGGAAAGTGTTGCATGCTGAGGGGATGGAGCAATGTGGAGATCCCATGGGACAATGGGATGGACAGAGGCCAGCACGAGTGTTCAGGTATGGGCTCAAGCATTTGTGGGGAGGGGGAATCCAGAGGGGTTTTCTTGCTTGGCATTTGCATCCTAGAGGAGTGACTGCAGACCCAGCCTTTGCCACCACTGTCACAGACCATTGTCCCATCTAAGTTAAATGTACTTAATTTATTAGTGTCTTCATTTATTATTTTTTTAATTGCCTGTTGTAGGTGTATCCATGTGGATTGATTAGACATGTTATACTGTGGCTGAATATGACTGTTCAAAGTAAATAGCAACTTGGTATAAAACTCTCTCAGCCTCTTATTCCTGAGCTCACCATCCCAGGTTCCAGTTGCTCAGTTTTCCATGTCTCTGGATCTCAGCTCACCCTGTACCAAGTGCTCTCCATCCAAACTGGGGCTCCCACAGTGAGCAGGAGTCTTCCCTTTAGGTTTGTGGGCTGGTGAGTGAGTGATCTTTTTGTTGCTTCTGTGCTGGAGCCACAGCTCAGCATCTCCTTGAAGATGGAGTGGCTGAGGTGGGGTCTCTACACCAAGAGTCTCTGCAAAGACTTCAGCAGGCAGCTCAAGAAGAATGCAGAGAAAAGCAGCTGGAACCAATCCTTTTCCCCCAATAACACAGTTACACCAGCCTCATTGGTTTTGTTACTTTATTGAAAGTGGCAGATCCCTTTCAATGTTTTTGAAAACTAAACCCATTGGTTTTGAATACTGGGCAAAGGGGTGGGGATTGTTTCCTTCAGAAAGTTTCCTCGTTACACTGCAGAGCATGTGAGGAACAACACAGGTACCTTATCAACACCTTTGCTACTGCTGTGAACAGCAACTTGAAAAGCAGCAGGGACCTTTGTGCTGGCCTGCAGCCTCTGCCTTCCCCCTCTCCAAGCCTCCTGTCTGTACATGAACTTCTCCTCCTGAGGGCAAAGTGGGTTTGTTCTGTTCTTCCTACCTGCAAGCTCTGAGCTGGCTCTCACCACAGAACTCTGCAGCAGAGAGCCAACAGCAGCACCTCTTCTCTTCTGTACAAGTTCATAGTGTTGCTGAGCCTGGCTTTATCCAGCAGGATAAATAAAGTAAAGAACACCCTACACCAGGAGCAGGGAATGTGTGGTCCCCCTGAGCTGCTTGCAGCCCAGCACTTCAAATCTGCAGGTCTAAGTACCAAAAACCAAGCCTTGTTTCTAACCAAGTGGCCTGTCATTAAAAAATGCTGAACAGCTCCAGCCTTTGTTCTCAGGGGCTCTGGGCTGAGCCATCTCATCCACACACAAACACCCAGGCACAAAGAGCTGGGGCACTGAGCTCCTGCTGACTTCATGGGAATCTCTTCTCAGTTGGAGAGCAGCTCTCTAAGCAATCTCACAGCTATCAGGGGTTATTCTCCTTAGTCTATTTTTCTGGACCTTTAAAATGTAGATTTAACATCTGTGTGCTTACCTGAATGAAAGATTTATAAACCAGTATGGTACAGAAAGCAAAGCTCCTGGGGATGCTCTGCTGGGACACCTCAAGCAGCCAACACAGCAGTGGATGCTGTGGTGCCTCTGCTAGCAAACACCAGCCCAGCCTGCACCTGGAGCAGAGCCAGCTGCAGTGAGTCTGAGCAGCCACAAAGGGAAGGCTGAGAAGGAGAGGGAGGCCTAGAGCAGCTTTTGGGAACCCCCAGCCCAACCACACTGCTGTGAGCCATCCAGCTTAAGTCTTCCTGTAGAGCACAAGTTCTTGCACCAAAACTATGTAGTGTCTCCCTCTGTCCTGTGAACCAAAGCCCTGCAGCTGTTGTGCTCCCCCACTCCTCTTTTTAACCCTTCTGCCCCCTGTGGGCCTGCCCAGCCTGCCAAGAGCACCAGGGACAGGAAGTGCACAGCTCCCACAGCAAATAAAGCCCTTTGCCTCCTGCTCCCTGCAGACCCAAGGCAAGCTCTGCTGTTGCCTGAAGTAGATGAACTAAGGCCTAACACAAAATGATGTCCCAGAGCCAACAAAAGAACAATCAGCAAACCCTCCTATGAAATGACAGGCTGGGAAGGAGCAACTGTATCAGCCCAGCTGCTGCAGCACTGCAAAGTGTTGTTCCTTGTGTGTGAAAGGCTTGAAGTGATCCTCCAGAACAACTGGAGAGCTGCTCTGACTCTCCCAGAGGCCCTAAACACCTGGAGAGCTTCCCAACATCCCTGCACTCACACAAGACTGCTCACAAACACTTCTTTAGGAAGGGCAGGAGACTAAACCCATCAGACTTGCCTGTGAAACATCCATCAATGGGAGAGAATCTCCGTTTTTCCAGCAGCCAGGCATTTACCAGAAACAAGCTGTGAATCAAACCAAGCCAAAATGGACACATCCATTGTAGGAAAACAATTAAAAACTGCATTGATTACATTGTAAAAACAATTAGACCACCCATCTCGGGTTCTGCAAAAGGTCTAAATTGTACTTGCATTGCAAACCCCACCCTGGGTTATCACGGAAACACGGCTAACATGAAGGCTCTGAAATGTCCTGGGGTCCATCACAATGTCACATCCAACAGATGGTGGTCTGGATTAGAGATGTAGTTCTTATGAAGCTGGAAAAAATCCTTCCCCCCTGGCAGCAGCAGCAGCAGGGAAGGTGTCAGCGGGCAGAGCTCAGGTGGTTCCGACTGTGTGAAAACCTGCAAGGAACAGGGGACAAGGGACACTGGGCAGGGCTGCTGCCTCTGGCCCCACTGCCACCTTTTGCAGTCCTGACAGACAACACCAGCACTTTTAACAAAAAGCCAAGGTGGTTTGGTGCTTCTTCAGCTTTCAAGATTCAGTTTTAACCTAGTAAGTAGTTTTCAGCACTGATGTTTTATGGTAAGAAAGCAAGCAGGTCTTTGAGGTTTTGCAAGCCTCCCCCCAAAAACAACCATGTTTTGTTGTTCTGATGTTTCTGCCCTGTGCAGCAGTGTCATTTCTAGGCTGACAGAAGTGAATGATGCTGGAAGCTGTCTGCAGGCACCCACACACACCCACCTGCACCTCCTGCTCACTCTTCCTGGCTGCCACAGTGGGCATCAGTGAAAGGCTGGATTCAATCTGGGACACCTTTTCCAACCTTAATGACTCTCTTCTATTCAATAGGAACCTGAGTTACAGCACAAACATTAACCCACCAGAAAGAAATGCTTACAAAGCTGAGCTCAAGGGTGTAAAGACTGAATAGTTTGGGTTGTGTTTATGGGGGCAGCCAGAGCACAGAACAGCTGCTTTTGGTATGGTAAAACACTTCCAGCCTGCTAACCAGGGAGGAGCCAAATGTTAAGTTTCTCTCATGGTAAGGAAAGGGTGAGATTTAGGGAGAAAAGCCAAACTCATGTTAAATAAAGCCTGGTAAATCTGTGACCAGGTTAGCTGTGCTGGTACCTGCAACACAAGGATGTGACTGGACTTGGTGCCAGCAATGGAGCCAACTTTGACCCAGCAAAGAACTAAATTCTACCAGACTACATTCCTTCACTGGTTTAATAAATAATTCCTGCAGGAAAAGTACACTTTTGTGTACACCTAAAGGTGTGCAAGCAGTGACTAGCTGCACGTAGTGCTTTAAAGCACATTCCCTGCAATGAAACAGGTATTTATTAACAGAAACTTTCTATTCCAGAAGCAAACCCAGTGAGATTTGCAGTCCTTGCTGCCTGGGTAATGAGCCCAGCAGGACACCATGTGTACATAGATTTATGTGCAAAATGAAATGAACAGCAGCATCTTTCTGTGCCCTACAACATACACCTACACTACAGAAACCTGCCCAGTGTGAGGAAAGGCTTCTGAGGCAAAGGAACTGTTGCCATTAAATGCAAGCAGTCAGAAGAAGTTCACTTTTGTCTGTGTGGACTTTGCCCAGCTGTCAGTGGCAGCTCCACCCCAGCTCAGCCTCGGGCACTGCTCACCTTTGGACCCTCTCCACCATGTGTGCTATCAGTTTGTCAGAGATGCCTGGGCAGGACTCCTCGGCCAAGCTGAAGGCATTCTCCAGCTCCTCCATGGCTCCCACGTTGCCTCCAGTCTGCTTGTGCTTATCTTTGAGCTGCAACCCAGAAACAGAGCATCAGGTCCTTGTTTTGTTGCAGAAAGCACTGGACAAGAACTGCAGCACTGACATAAAGACTCTTTCCCATCCCACCAGGGTGTAGGAGGCACCCACACTCCACTTAAAGGAACTAAAACCAGCTCATTTGTAGGTCAGCAAGGTAGAATTCCAATGTCTGGGGTTCAAATTTGCCTCCAGGTACTAAAGGCAATCAAAGCCCTTACCTAACAGGATGTATTCTTAAACTAAATGTTGTAAGGAATGGACCAACAGCCCTGAAAACTCATCACAGCACAAAGAACTCCAGGTGTACCTGAGGCAGTACAATCACCTTTGCTGCTGATGACAGCCCAGCACTCACAGGCAGGCTGGGCAGAATATACCCAGTGCCAGGAGTCAGTCAGCCCCACTTTTAACAACCACAAAAAAGCCTTGAGCTGCTTCTAGTGACTGGGAGGCCACAGAAAACTGCCACACCCGGGATCCTGAGCCCCTGGGCCTCCAACACTCCCCTCTAAGAGAGCTTTACCCAGGGGGCAGGGGAAGAAAGTGCACACAGCAAGACCTCCACACACAGCACCTACATTAGCTCACATCTCTCATGGTCACTACTTGCACAAGTTTCAGTTGTTACCTTGAAATAGCCACAGCTCTGTTGAGAGGGAACCTGACAGGTCACTGGTGCTGAGCCTGAAGGAATCTGTTGTTGGAAATCCTACATTTCCACCCCCAGCAGCAGCTCCCCACCTTCTTCCCACGAGCTGCTGATCTGACAGCCCCTTCCCCAGGGCACCAGCACACAAGGAGCTGAACAACACTCAAGCATCCTGCTGAACAAGCAATGTCTGCTCCAGCTCAATGAAGCTCTCATCAGGCCCTGCTGATTAAAGGGCTTTCCATAAGCCCTTGCAGTTCTTTCCCTCAATTCCAGGATCAACCTTTCCTGTTGTTGGAGCTCACCTTTTCTCAGAAAGCAGAACACTGTGAATGCTAATCCCCAGCTGCAGTCATGCCTGTGCACCAAGTCCCTGCTGGGAACAAACAGTTCCCAGCCAAAAAGAGCCACTGTCTCCTCAGAGGGGCACTGTTCAGTGCCACAAAGCTGGGGGAACAACCCACACACACCTCTGCTCAGCCAGAGTGGCAGGGGCATGGAGGGCAGCTCAGTTACTCATCAAGGATACAGATTTCTTAGGGCAAAAATAGCTGTGATGCTACATCCAAGGATTTGATGTGTACCTACCAAAGGCTGCCTGCCTCACAATAAGCACAGGGTCTGTCTGTCCTGGAGGTAAGGAGCCAGTTTATCATCAGCCTTTGATGCCAAAGCCCCTGAACTTCAGCCCAGCAGGCTGTGATGGGAGCAGTGTGTGCTGGGCTGTCTCTTCCCCCTGCAAAGAGCTCTCTGGAGGCTTGCAGGAGTTACAGCACTGCACTGAGCTCAGCCTCAGCAGGTTTAAAAAGTCATTTTACCTCCCCGCCCCACAATGCTTCCAGATTTGCAGCTACCCACACCTGTTAATTGTTGTCTTATACATCCAGAGTTCCATTATCATTATAGTGCAAGGATTCCATATTGCCAGAGTTTCATATCTCCTTGATGTTTCTCATGGGCAGCTCCTCAAGCACTGACTGTTCCTGGTCCTTGCAGCAGCCATCTGACTCCTGATCCCACCAATCCACTCTTTTATATCACTTGTTCTTATTGGCTAAAGCTGTGGCCTGTTAACATCAGGCCTGCTCCTAATCTTTAGTAATTGGCTCAGCTGCAACTCTTTAGGGGTAAGATTACATTCTGTACCACCTTCATTTACCCATACTGTGTCCCCCTACAGTTACTGACTCCTCATGAGCTGTTCTCAATGTTACATCCAATAACTCACAGGCAGGAAGGCAGATGAAAGATTACAAAGAACATCTCAGTCAGATTTCCATTCACAATCCAGCTTCAGCCCCTTTAGGGAATGAAGGGATCAAACCCAGCTGCTTTAAAATGCAATCATACAACAGTGAGGAGGACAAAGTTTTCAGTTCCTTCCTACCAATAGCAAAGAATAACACACACAACCAGCAGAGAAGCAGATTTCCAACCTGGAGAAGTTTTCTTTCAAGCCCCCTCTACTGCACACAAAAGCCAGGTTATTTCTGAGACTGCCCAGAACCCCTCCTGCTCCTAATTTTGCTCAGTGAGATTTTCAGAGCCAGCAAAAGTCTCATCAAGGGAAAGGGGGATCAAAAAACTGGGGCAAGGGAATCAAACCAGCAGAAATGAAATGTCTGAGAAGCCACTTCCTGCCTGGATCTGGTGCAGCAAGGTGAGTAAGGAAAAGCACAAACTTGCATTTACAGCCACAGCCCTGAGCACTCTGCCCCAGGGGGCTCCTAAACTGAACAGAGACCCGGACACCAGTGACTGTGCTGCACAAACAAACTGCATCACAAACCAGCATGGCTTTAATGTGGCTTCATCTCATAGCTCTGGGCATACAAGAGCCAGGTCAGTGCCCTCATGCTCTGACTCTGAAAGTCAAAGCACAGAGAGGCTGGTTAGATAAAATCCCAATTTCCAAAGCAGAGTGGTCTCAGGAGCCTGCTTTTCAGAATGACCTCTGGTGCCTGCCATGCAGCAAACCCTCCTTCCACAGAGCAGCACACCTGAGAACAGAGAGTTAAGTCAGAAACTATTCCTGGGAAAAGCACAGCTCTGTGCTGGGCCATGCCATCAGGATCCAGAGAAGGAACTCCTCAGGACCAGGAAAGGGTGTCTGTCACCAGCAGACACAAAGAGAACCCTGACAGGCAGCTTCTAATTGATTTCTTCTAAAGCATAATCTCCTGGAAAGAGCAACCAGAGCTCATAGCCAGCAGCCCCCTTATGATTATCCTTTTCTTCCCTGTCAGCATCACCCAGCTGGGAAGGTGATGCTGACACAGACACCATCCTGTCATTAATGGCAGCTCTTACTCCAACTGCACATCCCCATCCAGACCACCAGGCAGGGCAACTGGGTCAGTTTTCTGAACAGATTTTCTCTGCCTGCCTTCCAGAAGCTGGGTGCCAGGGAACTCCTTGGTCTTGGCACTCTACCAACAGCAGTCTGTACAGATCAAGAAACGGTCCAGTAACCAGCAAAGCCAATTCCTGCTCTAACCCACCTACCTTTCCCTCAGTAACTCTGCTGTGGACATGCACAGTGACAGGCAGCTCTAACAGGAGCTGCACTTCAGCCACAGACATCAGAGTCTGGAGCTGCCCAGGCACCAGCAAGCCTAAGATGCAGGTAAGAGACAGATACTCCTCTATCAGATCCTCACCAGAACACAGATTGCCAGAAGGGTAATGCCTTTCTTCCAGTACAAGTGTTTTCAGGAGGACAGGCCAGGGACACACTCACTTTCCTCTCTGAACTGGTACAAATACTTCAGAGTCCCTTAACCCTACTGGACACCTCTCCACACCTCCCTTCTCCAAATCGTTCCCATTTATCTATGTCAGGTATCTCTTCATCTCCAACCAGCAGAGACACCAAGAAGGTTCTACTCACCTCCCCAAAAACTGGGTGAACAAGTGTGGAGAGACACTGTGACCGTGGTTGCCTCTTGATGGGCTCAGTAGGCTGGAAAGCAACAGGAGAAGAAGTTACAAGCACAGGGAAAAGCTTCCAGGGCACATGAAATATTCAGCCTTTGGTGAATTCACAGCACCTCCACAGCAATCCCATCACCAGATCCCAGGAAAGCCACAAGTCACAGTACCCTGATGATGTGGAAGAGGCAGCTCTGCAGCACCAGCCCCTGGTGCCAGACTGAAGTAAATTTCAGACACAAGATGAGGGCCTGGTGGCTTCCCCAAGACACCCAAAAGCTCATGTTAGTTCAGTCCACTTGAGAAACACCAGACAGCACACAGACCTTCTGGGAACCATGCAGAGCCATTCCTTTGTGCAGCTTGCTCAAGGAATTGGGGCGAATGGTTGGAGGGAATGTCCAGATTGGACCCTGGTCTCCATCCTCTGCATCTCCATCACTGCAAATGAAAAGAGGAAAGTCAAGACAAAGCCTCAGCTCCATACATTGGGGGTTTGTCCACAGTTTCCCAGAATCACAAGTTGTCCCCACCTGACTGCCATATTGCTGCAGGCCTTCAGGCTTTTCACTATCCCAGAAAAAATTCTGAAGAGAAACCACTTCAGTCTCTACTACACCTAAGAGCATCAAAGAGATCTGAGCTAAGCACATCATGTTTCCAAATCACCACATCACCTCTCTGATCCAGCCAGCTTGAAGAAGTTTCTAGTACTACTTAAATTTAGGAGAATTTCAAGACAACCCAAGCTCACAATGTGAGGGACTAGACTTAGATGTCAGAAGCCAATTTCCCTGAGTGCTTGGTCACTTGAGTGCTGCCACAGGTGAAGAGCAGCACTGTGACACCACAGAGCCCTCACCACAGTTCCTAAAGCCTGGAGCTCTTGTAGTTAATGAAGGGTGCATAAAATACAGGCCACAAGAGCCTTGTTCTACTGGTTACACACAGATAATGTTTTGTGTTACACTCAGCAAAGAGGCTCCACAGGTTAGGACCAGAACAGAGTCCCACTGAACAGGAGGTAACAGCACTCACTTGCTGCCACAAACAAAAGCTCCAAGGTAAGATCTCAGGTGGGAAAAGGACCTGAGCTGTTTGCAGTAGGCCACCCTGGGGCAAGCAGGGGCAGCCTCCATGCAGAAGATGCACGTACATGTCAGAGTCCCCAGAACTGGAATCCTCTCCGTGGCCCTCTGACTTCCAGCGCTTGAAGCGGTCGATGAGCTCCATGAGGAACGAGGTTTTCTTGGTGTAGCGTGTGATGAACTTGTGCTTCAGCAATTCTTTAGCTGTTGGCCGCTGGAGCAGAAAAGGAAAGCATGTCACATCTAACCATCCCTGCACACTGAACACACACTCACTGACTGCTGCTGGAGTCACAGAATATCCTGAGCTGGAAGGGATGCACGAGGATCATCAAATCCAACTCCTGGCCTTGCTCAGGACAGCCCCCAACAATGCCATCAATCCCCAACAAAGTGCCTGAGAGTTTTATCCAAATATTCCTTGAACTCTTGGCAGCCTTCAGGCCATGACACTGCCCTTAGGAGCCTGTTCCAGTGCTCAAACACCCTCTGGGGGAAAAGCCTTTTCCTAATATCCAACCTAAACCTCCCCTGACACAGCCTCATGCCATTCCCTTACGTCCCACTGTGGTCAGCAGAGAGAAGTGATCAGTGCTCTCCCCTCCTTGTCCCCTCATGAGGAAGTCCAGCTCATGTGTCCATCCTGTAAGCTCAGCAATTCTATCTCTGCAATTCTGGAACCTTCCTGTTGAAGGCATTTTTGACCTCTGCTGCTTTTCCCAAATTCACAGGTGGGCAGCAATACTCACAAATCTAGGATCCTTGTTGAGGCAGGCTTCCACAAACTCCTTGAAGGGCTTGCTGTGGTGACCCTCAAGTGTTGGAGGGTTGTTTTTGGGGATCAAGAAGAGAACCCTCATAGGATGCAAGTCAGAATTTGGAGGCTCTCCCTTTGCTAGTTCAATAGCTGTGATCCCAAGGGACCAGATGTCTGCCTGGAAAAGAGAAGAAAAAGAACCCAGAACAGCAAGGAACAATTCTAAAACATGAAAGCACAGTTTTAGGACAGCTAATCACATAAATCAGGTGGGGCATTTCATGTCTGATATACAAACTTCTTCAGCAGAAGAACAGAAACTTCTGCATCATAACAGAAAAGAATAATTCTTGCAGTAAGCAGCACTCCCAACCCCTGTTTCTGTCCTAGCACCACCTCATGTATGGCAGCCCCAAGCAGCAATCCTGCTCCCAGCTCACCTTGAAGTCATAAGCAGACTGTTTGATGACCTCTGGTGCCATCCAGAATGGAGTCCCCACAAAGGTGTTCCTCTTGATTTGGGTGTCTGTCAGCTGGCCAGCCACCCCAAAGTCAGCCAGTTTCACATCTCCTTGTTCTGAGAGCAGCACGTTGGCAGCTGTATGCACAAATAAGAAATTGAGTTCTGAATCACCTCCAGTCCACAGAGAACTGAACACTGAGCAGAGCCCTCCTGGGGGATCCCCCTTCACCCCAGTGATAACCCTCAGCCTGGATTTTCAGCTTCAGACCCATTCTCATGCTCTGAAGTCCACTGGGTGACATGGAACAAGCTCAGGCACTTTGTTGGATCAGGAGGGGAATATTGGTAAGGTAGGAGCAGGGGGCAGATGTGAAGGACCACACCATCAATTAGATGTGACTCCTGGCCACACAGAGAAGGGAGGGTAACACAGTCTCTAATGCTCCTGATTTTTTTTCCAGAGTAGCATTCAGCTCAGGTTAAACAGCAGATCCTTCTAAAGAGCTCAAGGCCCACTCTTGTACTGGTTCCCACTCACTGATAAGACTGTAACATTGTGCAAGTTTGGGAATGGGGGTTTCATTCTGAGACCCCACCTAACAACCTTCAGCATTTCCCCACCACTGGCAGCCAACAGCCCTACACATCCTGCAGTGCTAGAAACATGCAGTCTCACATAGCAACAAAATCTTTTCTCCCAGTCTCCCTGCACGAGGTTTCTGTGCCCTGAGTGCTCACACCCCCTCCTGCAGTGGGTGAGAGCAGAGAGCACCTGGCTCAGCTCCCCAGCTCTGTCCCTCCATCCTCCTGCAGAACTCTGATGCTCTGGGCTTGCTGGGACTCTGCTCCTTGAGAGGCAGATGCCAGCTCTGCACACCACACGTGGCCAGGGACTATAAAAAACAGCAACAGGATAAGCTGACACAAGCTGCCCTGATTTTCTAGGGCTGTGAACCCTGCCTGAGGACAGCTCACTCCTGCTGTGAGCTACAAGCACAATAACCAGCACACACACCCCTGGGGTCCAGCAGAAAAGCAAATGTCCAGACACAAGTCAGCTAATATCTGAGCATGCCTTTCACTGACTCCTTCACTTCAGCTCCAAACTCCAAGTGCCAGAGGAGAGCTACAGATCCTCACTGCTACTCTAAACCCTAAAGACATGAAAAGCATGAGTTGTAATACAGTGACAAGCATCAGATTCACAAAACAGCAACCCAACAAGAAAAGCAGCACTGAGAAACAGTCTTTGAAACCTTGCAGATTATAGTGAATAAAATACCTCTGAGTGTGATGTTACTAACATCCATTACAAGAAAGGGAGCTGAGCCTTTTAATCTTACCTTTGATGTCTCTGTGGATCTTTCTCTCTGAATGTAAATAATCCAAGCCCTTCAGGATTTCTCTCAGGATAGTAGCTATGTAGGTCTCCTCCAGTGGTCCTGGCTTCAGCTAAAAAAAGGCAGAAAGATGATTTCAAAGAGGGTGAGTGATGCCTTGGATTTTCCAGGCTCTCAGTTTGTAACTTGGAAACCTTGGCCAAGCAGGTTGTACTCAGCAGGAAGCACCTTCCTGCACACCTGATTTAGGTGCTACAAGCAGAATGCTGGTGTCTGCACCTGGAACCATTCAATGGCAAAACTTTGGGGGGTTTTCTGCTGGCCTATCAGTCTGTTAAAGGCTTTCCAAACAAACAGCAGCTCATTTCTCACTTTGGCCTGGAAACACACTGGCCAACAGAACATTTTAACAGTTTCTCTTGTTCAGGTCTCTCTGCCAGCATGCAAGTACTGAATTTCAGCCACTGAGATATCAACCCTCAGGCTGTGGAGTATCAAAGCTCTTCTCCTTTCCATCAGTTCTCCTCTAACCAAGTCCTGCCTTCTCAACAACTGAGGTTCTGACACTCAGGTAACTTCTGCTGATGACAGAACACCCACTACACCTTCCTCCAAGCCACTGTAGGCTCAGCAGTTTTTCCTACATCATTAGTTATCCCTCTGGAAAAATGGGCATTATTGTTCTAAAGAGAAGAGAAAAATGCTGTGACAGAATACAGTGCAGTGCACCTTTGCCTGTGGGTAAATTCTGCATGTGTATTCTCAAAATTTGGGGTAACTTCATCACAGACCATGTCCTTATTGAGCAATACCATGACTCTGACCAGGTGAAATACAGATTTTATTGCTCAGAACCAACTGGCTGTGCTCACTTTTCAGTTCACTGGCTCTTTCCATCACACAGCAGCACAGCATGGACAACAGTGCTGGGACAGCTGAGCCCCATGAAAACATTCCCTGAGTCCTGGGATAAGCATAACCAACATGTGTGTCCTGCACTGCTTACCCTTGGGCACAGGGCTGCCTAAGGGATGGAATGTGGCAAGAGTGTGTCTGGCTTATGGGCACTGCACAAACCAAGGCTTCAGTCAATATTTTTCAGAGTCCAGAACTTGCCACTTACTCACCAAATCCAGGGCTGAACCTCCTCCCAGGTACTCCATGATTATCCACAGCTTAGTGCCCTGCAAGCAAGAGCACAAACCAAGAGCAAATACAGTAATAAAAGCAGACAGAAAAGTGAGACACCCACAAGGCAGCAACACACAAGATTTTCCTGTACACAATCCCAGAGCTGCTGCTCTCAGGGGCTTAAGGAAGGAGCCCCAGGCTCCCTCTTTTCTGCTGACACAGCATTACCTGTCCCCAGCACATTGCTAACTCAGTCTGCAGTTTCACCTGGGCAAGTGCCCCTACAGGCACCAGACTGCCCAGCCCACAGATAAGCTTATCCCAGGCTGGAGCCCTTTAACATCTCTCCAGCAGCTCATCCAGCATAAATCCTTCTTGGCAATGGCAGGGGAGCATGGCAGCCTTTGATCTCATTAACAGAGCTGCCAGCATGAAGGGCACAAACAGCAAGACACTCTTACTCCTCAGAGAAGAGATTCCATGCTGAGGCTCCAGGGTCCCAACAGAAGATAAGCAGCAGGTCCATGAAACTACAGCAGAAGGCTGAGAAAATACATTATGGCCTTTGAGAAATAAAGGAGGAATATTCAGGACCTGAAGAGCTCAGGAACTGTTTGCTGCAGTCCCATTGTTACATTCACCTCCAGGAGCCAGCATGGATAGGCCACTTCTGATCAACACTACCTCCATCAGGGATTCCTAAACCTGCTCTCAGTGGAAGCAGTATTAGCACTCCTCCATAGACTCAGTTCATATACTCTTCACCTTTTCTGATGAAATATGAAATGAATGAGTTTCAATCTCCTCTTTTTTTCAGAGGCATAAATCCCTCAGTGGTACTGCCTTAACACTGGAAAAGTATTCCATCAACTTCCTTTCCAGAATTGTCAGACCAGGGAAAGTTCAGTCTTCAACAAATAACTTGCTCTCCAGTGAAGTGCCCTGCTCTGGGTACCACAAAGTACAGGGCACCTCATTTCCAAATGAAATGTGCCAAAAAGCCCAGTCTGCTATCACGTACACATCAGTGCAGTGAGCAGAGCCACCACTGCTCCTGCTGCCACTCACATGTCACTTTGCAGTGCCATGTGCCACCACCCACTGCAGCATCCACAGAGCAGCCCTCCCTGTCTCCATCATATTTTCTGAAAAATCCTCTTTGCCCAGGATTCTTCTCCTGGGAAACTGAGAAGCCCCAGAGAAAAAGGAAAACAATATTATCTCATTTGTTTCTCCTGTGTTTTGCTGCTTTGGAACGTGGTTTGGAGATTGTCTATCCAACAGGTGGTTGTTTGATTGGTTTCATGTGAATTGTTTTTACTTAATGACCAATCACCATCAAGCTGTGTCAGACTCTGGAGAGAATAATGAGTTTTTCATTAATTAACTTTTAGCCTTCTGTAAGTATCCATTCTCTATTCTTTAGTATAGTTTATTATAACATTCTTTAATATAATCTAGATCATAAAATAATAAATTAGCCTTCTAAGAACATGGAGTCAGATTCACCTTTCCTCTCTGAGAATACCACACCTCCCCATTCCCAAACCACTGGCAAGGAGCCACCCTGGTTTGTCCTACCTTCAAGTAGGAGCCATAGTAGCGGGTGATGTAGGGGCTGTCACACTGGCTGAGCACTGTGATCTCCTGCTGAATGTCCTCAATCTCATCCTCAGCCTCCTCCAGGTCAATGATCTTGATGGCAACCACCTCCTTGGTGCGGTTGTCGATGCCTTTGTACACCTCCCCAAAGGAGCCCTTGCCAATCCTCTCCAGCTTGGTGAACAGCTCCTCAGGATCCACCCTGGAGTGCTAAACCACGAGATGGGAGAATTCCATTCAGTTCCCAGGCTGCAGAGCACCACACACACACACACACAGCTCATCTCCATATTTGTGCAGCACCCACTACCTTGATAAATTCACCTATCTTAAACAGTCTTAGAAACTTAGCATGGAATATATCCAAGATTAGAACTTTTCCACAGGCTTTCCAACCCTGCAGACCGCAGTGGGGGAGGAAAAGGAGGGAAGCCCAGCATGAGAATGTCAGCAAATATTGCTGGGGAAAGTGTCAGCTCCATTGGGACAGGGCTGCTCAACTGCAGGCACCAACTGGTGCCTAAGCAGCTCCATGAGCAGGCATCTGTTCACACTTCAATACAGACCAGCAAGGGGTACCAGAACCAGATTTCTCCTGGAGATCTGATGAGACAATGAGCACAAGCAAGAAGCCACATAAAAATATTTCCCTAGTTAGCCTTCCTGCACTCAAAGACTGAAATGATTAGAAAGATTTGCACCCTTCCCTACTTGTCTGGAGGGTGAAATATTACAGTAATCTGAATTCACATTTACTGCCTCCTCTGCTTCAGCCTGATTTCCAGGCAGCTCCCAGCACAGCTCTCCTCAGATGTTTGCAGATGGAGCCTCACATCTTTTGGAAGGTCAGCAGCAAGGAGGAGGCAGGAGAGCAGAATGGACACTCCATCCTCCTGAGCTGCTTTTCTGCACCAGCCTCTTCTCTAGCTGGCACCCTCAGATGCAAAGGCAAACAGCATCTCCTTCATTAGATAAGCACATCAACCAGGCAGTTATTAACAGAGAAATACTGACCTTTTAACAGCAGCTGCACAGTTAATTCTTTATTAAGATATGGGTAAGAAAGGGAATAAATCACAGTCACTTTCTTATGCTATTTAATTCAGTCCACCTGCACATCAGGAGGTCCTTCGTGCTACTAAAATGCTCTTTGTGATTAGCTTTTCTGCCTTTTTTTTTAATAGTTTGAAAAAGAACACTGAAAAATATGGCCTGACCTTAGGAAGCAGCCAAGCCATCAGAAGGAATTTTCCACACCCAGAACTTCTCAGTCTCACCTCCAACACGTCACCCAGTGAGTGCTCTCTCACAAGGGCCTTGAGCTGGCAGATTTTCTCAGAGAACACAGAGGCTGCATTTTTCCACCTCACACCACGTTCTAGCAGCAGGCCATCACTGAGCAGCCCAAGGTGTTGCTTAATGATTAAGCCAGTCTGTCATCACAGGTTGTTTGCCTTCTGTGCATTGCTGCAAGCCAGGCCCAGGTGAGTTTTACAGGCAGCTCACTCAACAGGATTTCCACACAAACTCCAGCCCAAGATATAGAAGGATAACCAAATATCCTTTGCATCCATAGCAACACCCAAACAGGCTGAACTTTGAACAAATGCACTGGAAACAGACTAGAAGGGATGTTCAGAGATAAGAACTGGAGATGCATAGCAGAGACTGGAGAGAGGGAGGTGGGAAAAAGAGGATTTGAGCTTGAGAAATGTTAGGGGACAACATGAGAATGATGACCAGAGGCAGGGAGAACAGTGTGACCAGTCCAGGCTCACTGCAGACCAGGAACAGCTTCCACTTGTTGACCAACTTGGAGGAAGGGGCAAGAAAGTGCCCCAAACATGACTGTGCACAGTGACCTACTGCACCCTAAAAATGCCTACAACACATCAGCCACTCCCACACATCAGGGAGAAGGGAGAGAAAGAGGATCATCTCCTAGAAGCACCTGCTCAGCTCAGAAAAGAAACCACAACCCACATGAATACTGCAGGGAAGCAAATCTTCATGAAAGCATTCCTCCCCTCCCATGTAACTTTTCCATGAGGTAAGAAACAGCAAAGTGGAAGTAACTGTTCCCCCCTCAGACACATCAGAGAGTCAGGACTGATTTCTCCAGATGAAGACATCAAACATAAGATCACTGGCTGTGGCAGGCAGCTTTAGGGACAACCACCACTTTACGTGGCAGGCTCTGTCATCATGGACAGCTTTGTAAACAACCTTGCAGACCTGGATGTTGGTTTATCCTGTTTTCTGTAGAACAAAGGAGTTCAGGCAGGTGTGGTGGAGGAGACAAAGCCTCTGACAAGCACACAGAAATTTTGCCCAAGGGACTCAGGAAAACAACATCACAGATGGGAAGGTGAGACAGGCCCACCCCCATCAGGGTGGAAATATGAGGATATTTAGTTTGTAGGTACTGGATTTACCTTCCCAATACTGACCTGGAAATGCTTTAGAGCTCACAGGTGACAGGGCAAGGGTCTGATTCTGTGGAGGGCCTGAGGATGAACATCCCTCAATGCACTGGCCAAAACTGCAGAAATCAGACCCAGAAAGAGTCCAGGGAGCCAGCACAGGGCCAAGGGGTACAGAGTGATTCCAGCCACAGTTACACTGTGACACACCACACACTGCTGGAGGAGCACAGTTTGCTGATGGATTTCTTCCCTTTCTATAAACAGGGAGGAGGAAAGAGGCCCATGGCAAATTCAAGCAGGCCAATGTCTGCTCAAGAGCACACCTTGTGAACACCACAGAAGAAACTGCCAAGTGACATTTTCAGCAACTCTGAACTTCCAGAACAAACTAAGATGTGCTGTCTGCAGGACCCTGTTCAAAAGCCCTTGCCCATTAAACAAAATCCAGTTTGAGACACCACATGGTGACCTGTGCTGACAAACACAAATGCTCAGATGTGTGGGCATAAAAGCCTCAGCACTCATCAGAGAGCAGCACAAATCAGGAATGGGGAGCTGTGGAACTGCTCTGCTCTGTCAGGAGAGAGAAGGATGCACTCCATGAACCTGACTTCCCCAACACACCTCCACCATAGTGAGAGCTGTAACAAGCACCATCCCTCCCTCTCCTAAATATAACTTATCTCAGTACCTTCTCTTGTCAGAGAACCACCCTGGCTGGAAATCTTCTGGAATTGCAGTGCTACAAACACACCTGGAAAGCTTCATTAGTGGGAAGCAACAGAACCCAGATGAAATGCTTTATACCTGCTTAAATGAGTACAGATAACCCCAAGCAGCTTATTAGAACCTGTCACCTTTGCAACTGCTCACCAGCTTGGGTTCTTCCCATTTTTCTTCCACATTCACAGAACCCATCAGAGCTGAAAAATGGAGCTCCAGCAGCAGCAGCTGCTCCTTGTTCTACATGTAAAGCCACCAAGGGATGATCACTACATTGTAACTTTTTCTTTGGCTGACTGCTCGTTACACAGCAGATCTGAAGCAAAAAGCCTCCTGCTGCTCCTCTCCACTGAGAGCAGCCAGGCAGGCACTGGAGATGGCTCAGGCAGGCCTGGGCAGGCTTTGGAGGGAGAGCACACAATGCACCAGCTCACTTTGAGTGCAGGAAGGGAATAAGCATGAGAGGGATGGTGACAATTTCCTGGTTATGTGCTCCACTTGTGCCCTCTGGGATCCAATCTGACAGCACAGGAAAGAAGGATGCTCTGTCCTGACAGGTGTGGGAGTGTTTGCCATCCTGACTGATGATACCACGTTTTAAAACAGACCAGCTCACTGCAGCCATCAGGAATTGCAGAGTGCTGTGAGACAAGCCTGGCAGCAACACTGCAGCTGCTTCATGGGGAAAGAATGGTTTTGGCAGCTCTGCCACCTCCAGCTGCTCAGACATGATAGCCACACTCTCTGAGAAGATGTGGATAAGTACCAGAGAAGAAGAGTAACTATCTGCCCTCATTTCAAAGCTACTGCCTGCAAAGATAAGCTGCATATTTGGAACAGAAACAAACAGCATTTGAAGCAGCTGAAGATCTTCTCTCTGTGCTGTGTCCAGCTGGATTTTACTCTCAAAATATTCAAGAGCAAGGATCACGCCTGCATTTGTTGCAGAAAACACTGAGGGGTGCTTGAATCCTTTTGGAAATGAGAACTCCTTAATCTTGGAATTGGAATCACTGTTCTACATGGGAGAGCTCTGAAACAGAAAATTGTCAAGGCCCCAATAGTTTATTAGCTGAAGCTGACCAGGAATGCAGCAACTTCAAAGGGTTTCTGTGGAACCACAGCCACATTTAGAGTTATTTCTGACTGCAGCACCTTCCAACCAGCCACACAAACAAACAAACATAATTCTGCTTTGCCAAACACAGTGCAAGAAGGAAGTTGGTTTTAATAGAACTCATCTGCTCTTCTTTTTCCCTCATTGTCTCCTCTGCTCCCCAATTTCCCAGCCTGCATGATGAACACTCACCTCTGGGCTACCAAGAGTCTCTCTGGTGAAACCAGCTTTGTACCTGGAACTTTCTGAAAGCTCCCCTGTCTGTATGAAATCTGTGCATAGCTCTCTGCAACTGCCAAAACCTGGGACAATTTTGAATTTCTGGAGTATAGAAAAGAGGGAAGTTTGTGTTCAACACTTTGAAACACTGTTTGTCTGAAACTCCCAGCTCTCTTCACAGACAGTGTTCTTTTTCTTCAGGAGATGAAGCATTGTGTAGGCAAAAAATAACCTAAATGGCTTCTCCAAGGCCAGGTAAGGAACAACAAATGTAGAAACAGAGCCCAAATCAGAGCTTTAAGCATAGGAACTAACACAAATCCATCCCCTGGGAGCTTCTGACCAAGACCAGAGGCCTGCAGTGCTGTGTGCTCACACAAAGGGAGCCAAGGAAAGAGAGCAGAAGCAGCTGAGGCAGGGAATGGCAGCACACAGGCACAGCAGCCTGGTCTAAGGTGACTCTGCCCATCAGCACCAGAGCTGAGAATCAGACACAAGCCAAGCCTCTGAGAGCCCAATGCAAGTCTCAGTCTTGCTTTTCACAGCACCTCCCAGAGCTCCCTAAATCCCAGGGAAGAAAACTTCAGGGCAGCTCCCAGTGCCCTCCCAGCCAGCCTCAGCTACACCAGGGATTCCTGAAAAGACTGCAGAATGGACAGCACAGACTGGTTTTCTATGCCAAGACCAGACACTCATGACATGACAGGGTCTGACAATGCCTAACATTTCCATAATAAATCCAGAGCTGAAACCACCAGAATGCTGATAAGCTTCAAGAGTGAATGCTGTGTACAAAAAAAACCTTCAGAGCAATCTCCTCTGCAGCTCCAGAACTGTTTTCAGCCCTAATCAAACAGTATCCTTCCCTTTCTCCCCCTGTACAGTGACTCAGCCAGGCATTATATTCACATTTAATTCCACACACACTTTGGGGAAACAGCTGATGTGAAAGACAGCATGCAAACTGAGGTGCATTGCAAATCAATTTTAAATCAGTCAAGGTTCAGAGAAAGCATCAGCCCAAATCACTAAAGCTTTTAGTAATTCTACACCTAGGAGCAGAACAGAATAATGCCCCAAAACATGGTTTAAGAAGACCTGTGCTCAGTATTGACATCTGCCAATAATCAAACACACCTCACAACCAAATTCAGAGGGAAGAAGATGCAAGCCAATACTATTAACGTGCTTTAGCTTTTAGTCCCAAATCCTGGCATCATCTTTCCACACTCCTCTTGTGAAAATGTCACCACATCAACAACATTTAACCACATCCACAGAGGCTGACATCTCTTGGAAGAGTTATGACCCAGTATCAAATATCACTGCCTCTTATGCAGCAAGGTTACAAGCACCATTTTTCTGAGACTAATGCCATGAACACATTTTTCTGCTCCCATTCCTAGACTTCCCCTTCCAAAAATATTCAGATAGCCAGTGACTCCTGTCTCCCTAAAAAGAACACCCTGAATCCCAGAGAAAGGCTCCACAGTGGGTGAAGAATTCACTTTCTGTATGGCTGGCAACACACCATTATCAGCCCAACACCAGGTACAGAGTCAGGCACAGGTCAGTCAGCCAACAGGAGTAAGCTGAGACCTGTGCAACAGAGATAAAGAGTGGCAAAAAGTGATTTTCTGGTTATTTGTTTGAAACCCTTGTATCAAGAGCAAACATCATTGTGTAAACTCTTAAAGAGGGTTTTAAAACAAACTTTTAATCAGCACTTACCTGGCTAGCAAATTCTCTCAGGTGAGCCATGCCTACAGGATGGGGTTTTTTGCAAAATCAGGGAGGATTAGGATGTTGCAGCACAGCAGGAAAGTGATGATTTCTCCACTGGTCAACTGTGACAAGCAAGAATACAGAGCTCTCAAGCGAGGTTCTTGGAAGCTGGCTCATTCCCCTGAAGAGTTACCTGCATCTTTTTTCTCTCCTTCATCTGAAGTGCTCCTTGAACCTGCCAGCAGGTTCTAAGTATGCCAGGCCCTCCTTGCACAGTGCATTTCTCAATTCTTTACAGAAATGCCTCCCAGATGTGGCAAGGAGCCTCACTCTAATGTTACACACTGACCAAGTCCCAGGCTCCATTTTCCCTCAGCATGCTGCCCAGTATTATAGCTAACGCCACAGACCTATTGCCTCACCACCACTCCCAGCATCTTCCTCAGCATCATCCTCAGACAGTCATTTTCTCCTGCTCCTCCTCAGCAATCCCCTCACTGGGAGCACTCCTCTGCTCCCACGGTCCCCACTACAGCTCAGCTGCTCAGCACACACCTTCCACTTCATGGAGCCCCAACCCTACACCTCACACCTTCCTCTTCAGGGAACACCAATCCTGCACCTCACACCTTCCTCTTCAGGGAGCACCAGCCCTGCTCAGCACACACGTTTCTCTTCAGGGAACACTAACTCTGCACCTCACACCTTTCCCTTCATAGAGCCCCAGCCCTGCACCTCACACCTTTCCCTTCATGGAGCCCCAGCCCTGCACCTCACACCTTTCCCTTCATGGAGCCCCAGCCCTGCACCTCA